GCCTAGGCCTGGCTTCTACTATTAAAATAGTTTATTCTCGCTTGATGTCGCCAAGTCTAGCAAAACTGCTATCCTTTTTATTTGCTATGGGGTCGGGCTACAGAATATTAATCAGAGCTTGTCAACAACACCAGGCCCGTAGCCAGGGGGGGTTTTTATGGTTCGGGCGAACCCCCCTTTTCTAGCGAACCCCCCTGTTTTCTAGCGAACCCCCTAGAATCCCACTCGGACGGAATGTCTGTTTTTAACTTACCCAGTATTAAATCAAAATTTAGCACCTAATTCATTATTTGGTCACCCGTTTTTAAATTGTAGCCTACAATACAAGCCTACATTCTAGAATATCTCAGTTTCAGAAGTTCGGAGATTTAAATTGAACGCAACTCCGGCAAACCATGACTCGATAGCTCACATAAGGATCATGGCAAACATCGATAAAAACTTTCACTGGCCTTTGGCTGAATGTTTGTAAGAAATGTACCAACCGGTAACGAAACAGCTGCTCGATGGGGTTACACCATCACCGCCAACCGGAGATCTGTGTTTATGTACTCCGGTTAGCATCGGTTAAGTCTTGATCTTTTCTGGGATCAGGTGCCTCCTAACCTGGAACAAACAACACTAGCTAGCAAGGTGAAACAGATAAAAAGAAAAAAAAAAGAAAAGAAAACAGTAGGTATAAAGAGGCAAATAAAAAGGTTTTGAGTCGCTTTTCAATTGACAGTAGGACGTACTACTAAGCCTAGGCTTTTGTTGTAAAAGTTTAAGTGCATGTACAGGATGCGCCATAGGCCTATATTTAAAAAAAATAATACATTTTGTTAATTATTATTGGTTGGCCTGGGACCAGGCAGGCCAGCTTTGCCGTCGAAAGTCCAGGGATTCGACGATGGCGTCAGTACACATGTTTACAAACGCCATTGATTGGAATGAAAATAGACGCGCTGAATTACGTTTATTTTATGAAAGATAGTATTTATCGAACATTTATCTATATGAAAACAAGATTAATATTGTAGAAATTGTATTTCTAAAGATTCATATATAATTCATATTTCATTTGGTAGACAATAAATATTCAGTAAGATACTAAAAACGATTATTAATTCTGAAATGTGCATCAAATCTCAGCTATTATTAATCAGCAGTTTGTATTAGGTTAAAGTCTTAAAACAATAATTTTGAATTAGGCCTAGTAAACAAATAATTGTAATTAAAGTTTAGGTTCCCATGATGGCAGATGACGTTTTCAATATGATGCTATATTTTGGGCTCTGACTTAATTTAACGATGGCCCTGTCAGTTGTAGTAAGTCTTTGTAAATTACTTTATAGGCCTATATAATAGCTTGTTTTTGTTTTATAATAATAAATGTGTTGAGTGTATTGATATTGATTATGCGATGAGGTTTTTTTTTTTGTCTTTAGGTGTGATTAAAACATGCCAATTCTCAGAAAATATTTTCAAATTTTATTATATACCACCTTTTACTACATAGATCTTTTTTAAAAACATAACTGCTTTTATAACATTATATAGACCCATTAAACACAAAAACTGCCCTGGCTTCGGGGGCTTTGCCCCCGACCCCGCTTCGGGGGCTTCGCCCCCGACCCCACCAGGGCCCTTATTCAGTGTCCTGGACCCCACGCCCAGAGAACCCCCCCCTTGAAATGACCTGGCTACGGGCCTGAACACCACCAAACGAACAAATCTTCGATCGTTGCTAAAACACACCAGCGTGACCATTCACAATTTTTGATATACCCAATGAAAGATTCAGCAAAAATTTCCCAAAATTACCCAAACTTCCTGAAAATGCATTACAATTTGAAAAATAC